CTGGTGGCCAGCCGCGGGTCGGTTTCAGCAGCGGCTGACTTGGGGACGCCTGGGGCAGAGCAGCTCAGGTGCTGCCGGGTTGGTCCAGTAGTGCCAAGGAGCGGCACTGCGGGACCAACCCAGCAGCACCCCAGCTGCTCTGCCCCAGGAGTGTCCGATTCAGCCGCTGCTGGTCAGTTTCAACAGTGGCTGAATCTGGACACCAGTTCCGACTTACATACAAATTCAACTTAAGAACAAACCTACAGTCCCTATCTTGTACGTAACCCGGGGACTGCCTGTACAAAGATTAGAGATTAATCTCCTGGCCTCAGCAGTAAAGAAGAGGGCTATATTTTAATGTTCGAGAACCCTCAATAGAGGAAACAAAGAAAACAATGCTGCACTGCCTCCTGAAGAGATAGAGTAGGTGCCTGGCTGTACAGCTGTAACATCTCGTATATAGTAGTCTAACCTGATGAGAGAGAGAGAGAGAGAGAGAGAGAGAGATCTCCCATCAGTTTAACTGCTCCAGCCCCTGCAAGCAGCAGTAGCTATGTCAGCAGAAGCCACTGTCCAGACTAACACTTATGTTGCTGTAAAACTACATTGCTCAGCAGAATGATTGCCTCCTACATGACACAAATTATGCTGACATAAGCTTTAGCGTAGACATAGCTTAAATAATTATTTATTTGGGGTATCGTCCACAATGTGCTAAATGCCTTCCAAACCTTAAGAAGAAACATCCCGGCTCCAAGACATGTACAATCTAATGACCAACAAGTAAACAACTTTCAGAAAAAGGGGAATAATAAAAGGCAATATATACAAGCTGTTAACTAATACGTCTTTTCTTCCTCTGCCTACTGTGAGATTTCTCACCTTGCAAAGTACAAATTAAATAATTCATACTTGTTATTGTACAATGTATTGACTTAAAATAACTCACATTATTGGCATATATTGCAAGAATGCATTGTTTTATTACTGCTTTAACATAGAAGTTTTTCCAAAACATTGAACTGAATACACTGAATTTATAGTAAATGAAAAAGGATGCACCAGAAATATTTTTACAATCCTAAAACATGAAAAACAGTAGTATATATCTCAACTGACAAAACAGTACCAGGATTTGTAGTCTGATTTGTATTATATAGTTTCCAATGGAGCCATATTACGTAGCAACTAATCAGGGCTGATTCAACTCCCACTGAAGCCAATCTGAGTCTTTCCATTCTCTACTGAAAATACACAAACATATTTTTACAAGCTGCTGACCTCATGCATATGAGGAGCCAGCGCATCAGTGGCCATCAAATTCATACCAGAGGCTATGTCTAGACTGCAAGTCTCTTTCGAAAAAGAGCGTCTAGACTACAACCAGTACTTTCGAAAAAGCAAGTGGCTTTTTTCAAAGACAGCACCCAGGCAGTCTGGATGATCTCTTTCGAAAAAGGACAGATTGCATTACATAGTGCCTTTTTTCGAAAGAGCACTTTCAAAAAAAGGCGTTATTCGTAAAATGAGTTTTTCCACAGTCGAAAAAACTGCTGCATTCTTTCAATTTACTTTTGAAAGAATGTGGCAGCAGTCTAGACACGGGAAGGTTTTTTCAAAGAAAGGCCACTTTTTTCAAAAAAACCCTGTAGTCTAGACACACCCCTACTGTGTCATATTGTTATTAACGTATTCCTACTGAGTTACTTTAACAATAAGAAGTTCTGTGGCACCTTATAGACTAACAGATTTATTGAAGAATAAGCTTTCGTGGGCATCTGACGAAGTGGGTCTTTGCCCACAAAAGCTTATGCTTCTGATTGTTTATGCAGATTCAGACTAACACGGCTACCCCTTTGATACTGAGTTACTTTACTATCTCTTTTACTTAAAGTATTTGTTTTATTTTTAAACAGTAAAAACAATTACTTTGGAATGGGGAAGAATAAAGAGTTTATTCAAAGTATTCTTCAACTAGGGAACATATAGTAGCAGCAGAAGAATAAAACAAATCAATAGAGAAAAGTTTATAAATGCTAACATTTCAGCAACCATTTGTGGTACAGCAGCTAATTATTACTGTTCAGAATTAAAAGATTTGCTTCATTTTTCCCAAAGAAAAGTGAAAACAAAAAATGGTTGTAGCATCACAACTGGGAAGGGGAATGGAAGCAGTAGCAACCCTCCTACCTATAACACCACTTTGTTTCTCTTCTTAAATTCCTTAGAAAATAAACTGGGACACTTAAACCAGCTTCCAATTCATTACCTTAAGATAAACTTCATCTTACATGCTGCCCATGTCTCTAAGGATAGGTTGTTAGAAGGAACTAGTATTTCCCTTTAAAATGATGCAATACAATGTGTTTCTCTCCAAGCAGGCCCGAAGAGATGTGTAATATGAAGGATACAATATCTCAGAAGCTAGAGTTCAGGCTGACATTTGAGTACAAATTACAAAAACAGATTTCACGTGACCAAGCCTTTCTCAATAGTTACAAAAGCTTCAGAGAGGTAGCTGAGTTAGTCCGTAACTACAAAACTTAAAAAACAATGAATAGTCTAGTAGCACCTTAATGACTAACAAAACATGTAGATGATATCATGGATTATGCCCACGAAAGCCCATGATACCATCTACATGTTTTGTTAGTCATTAAGGTGCTACTAGACTATTCATTGTTTTTTACATTTTTCAACAGTTACAGTCTAAGATGATACTCCTGATGCATCTCCAATACATGTCAATGAAGTAAAAAGTTTACTTTCTTCAGCCTCTACAAGCATCTAAACCACTTGGCTATGTAGAGTACTGTCTTGCACACAGAGAAGCTTAATTTACACATTGCAATAAGGTTTTTATGTAGTTTCCTTTGAAAAATAAACAATGTATTCTTGACTTTATTAGCCTGCATGGTATCTCTGAATATGAACCTACCAGTTCATTAGTTAAACAGTCAGCCTTCCAGAAAAGACACCTTAGTCCTGGTTGACAGTACACAGATTGACATAAGACAACTATGTCAGTGTACACACTACAGCCTGGTTCCTACTGATGTATATGCCCTACTACACCAACCATCATAACTCCAACTCCATGAAAGGGGTAGGGCTTATGTCACTCACTGTGGATAGAGAGATACAATGTTAATTCTAACACTGTGTTACTTACAAGGACTCTTGATTGTCCTGTCAATTTCATGGCTTAAAGCCATGAAATTGACAAGAAAACCTGGTTCCCCTGCTGGGCTGCTGTCCAGTCTCCAGTCAAGTTTAATTGATTCTGGCTTAGGCTGCTGCCTGGACACCCCACTGGGATCCCTTGGTCGCCTGGCATCCTGGCTCTCTGCTGACAGCCCTGCTATCCTTCAGTATACCAGTTTGCAACTCCCGTCAGGGAATCTGGCTGCATCAAGGCATCCAGCTCAGAATCCAGCTGTCCCTTTGGGCTCTTAGTTTCCTGCTGGGAGCATGACAGCCAACCAGAGGCTGGATGCTGATTTCCCCACTGGCACTGATAAATTACAGGAAGCCTCCCCTCCACTGTCAGCAGGGAACAGGAAGGTGAGAAGCCCAGCACAGAGCTACACAGAGCTAAAACCCCTGTCTCTCAGCACCCCATGTTGCTCCTTTTTAGTCACTGGAGGGCTCTTAGTGAGGACAGGCACCACTAATTGAAGGAGGCTAGTGTGTGTGGAAGTCAGCAGTGGCCATAAATTAACTTAACCTAGGTCAATTTAATATTATAGTGTAGACATGCTCTTAGGTGCCACCTGAATTTCTAATCTTAAAAACAGGAAGAGGAAAAAATCCAGTTCATGTAACCTCTAAAAGGCATGCATGGAAACGATAGCCAAGGTACAGAGGTTAAGTTTCTATTAATTTTAGTACAATTCACACAATTTATTGAAAATAAAAACAAACGAACACTAGAATTCATATTGCCTCCTCCCAAACCGCTTTACTCGTTTTCCCCCTATATTTTCCTGGCTATATAATTCAATTCAACAGGTTAACCACAACATAGGCTAGGAAGTCAAGAATGTAAAACCGAAGAGCAGTGCCCGAGCCCGTACGGGAAGGGGCTCGGTTAAGCGCCACGCCCCGTTCCCGGGGGTATCAAGCGCACGGAGCTGTTCAGACACTGGACCTTTGCCCTGGCACCAGACAGGCTTCCCAGGGCCCCTTGAAAGCTGCTGTTTGGGTCTGAGGCGAAGCCCCGGCTCCTCAGCCTGGGTTTTAAGCTAACTCCGACCGCTGTTCCCGGGCAAGGGCGGGCCAGGCCCGGGACAAACTGCTACTCTGCGGCCGGAGCGCCTCCTCGCACACGGAGCTGTTCAGACACTGGACCTTTGCCCTGGCACCAGACAGGCTTCCCAGGGCCCCTTGAAAGCTGCTGTTTGGGTCTGAGGCGAAGCCCCGGCTCCTCAGCCTGGGTTTTAAGCTAACTCCGACCGCTGTTCCCGGGCAAGGGCGGGCCAGGCCCGGGACAAACTGCTACTCTGCGGCCGGAGCGCCTCCTCGCA